CCGGACAGTACTCGCGGTGAGGCGGACCGGCCGGCCGAACCCAAGGTTCAACTACGAGCTTTTTAACTGCAACAACTTTAATATACGCTATTGGAGCTGGAATTACCGCGGCTGCTGGCACCAGACTTGCCCTCCAATTGTTCCTCGTTAAGGGATTTAGATTGTACTCATTCCAATTACGAGACCCAAAAGAGCCCCGTATCAGTATTTATTGTCACTACCTCCCCGTGTCGGGATTGGGTAATTTGCGCGCCTGCTGCCTTCCTTGGATGTGGTAGCCGTTTCTCAGGCTCATCGTCCCGTATCGCTTCAATAATCTTTTCGACAAAATTATCCGCTGTTTCTCGCTCAAAGCTTCGCAGGGACGCTCCGGAATAGATCGGGCGATGTTGAATGTTCGTGGCGACGTAATCCAGTTGTTCATCGGACGGAAATAGTGGTCGTAAAGTGAAGTTGTCCCTGCGATCGAGTTTCCTCCAAACGTTCTCTTGAATTTGGGGAAACTCAAGCCAGGGCATGATTCGTTTGGGATAAAGTTGGTTGACTGGATCAGTCGCAACACCTTGAGTCGTCAGGGTCGCATCCGTCTCAACTTTGATCGCTTGAGACAAGGAGTGGTGGCAGCGATCGAGAAGGCGGAATAAAGCGTGGGGTTGTAATCGCCGTTCTGCCTCTTCTCGCGCTCTCCTCTCTTCCTCAAGCTGACGTCGTAACTCGGCGATCGTTTCTTCCATACTTCGCGGAAACGATTTCAACGGATTAGACGACGCCAAATCCAAGCCCCACCCTGTTGACACAGGCAGGACCTTGATGGGGAAATGCCCCTGGATGTTTACCCGCTACTTAAGTTACCCCGTGACGAGAGCTGACTCATGCCTCGGGCATAAAGAGCTTGTGGTAGAAGTTATCTGGTTCATAGCAGCAGGTTTAAATGTCGTATGTTGCATGGATAAGAAAAGAAAAAAAGAAAACTGCATCCATTCTATCCTAGCCTTGTATTATATCAACACCACAGTGGAATCCACGGAAGGCCCCGTATCCTGCAACAAACGACGCTACCTTATCACCGAGGGACCCACATTCAAGTGTCGAGGTTCATCAGAACGTTCCCGCTATCCAGCCGCGCGCGTCCATTCTGGACATCGGGACCACCTCTACTTATGACGCAGCAGGCTGCCGGGGGGGAGCAGTACCGTCTTCATGGATGCCTTGAGGCCTCCATGGGCGCGCTCTTGTCACAGGACCACTTTTTTGTCCGGCCTCAGCTGGGCGGGTTCTTGGCTGATACACAAATGCAGGGAATCTATGGGCCTACTCTGGACGGTGATCTAGATACTACATATTAAGAATGTTGTTACATGGGCCGGCTTGCGCAGTATATGTTGCGGGTTTGCTTGTGCATGAGCGGCCCTGTATGCACAAACCATTACTCCCTTGGGTCGAGTCTGCAAGGCGAGTTCGCATATATGTCCGCAAATTTGTCTATCATGCAAAGCTCATCGGCACCGGATGGGGCCTTTTCTGGGTTATGATAGGAACTCGGTAACAGCTGTGTCGCAGGACTAAGCGTCAGTATCGCGCATTCGGCTCCAGGCGAACATGACAGGAATAGGTTTGGAGAGGGGATGAACAAACGTACTTTGCCGAAGTTCCTCCGGTTTCTCTTGAACAATCCAGTGACCACTATCGATATTCACGATCTTGGCGTCTGGGAAGAACGAAGATATCGTTGGAAACGCCGTTTCCGGAATGTAATGGCTTCGAAGTGCTCTCAGAAAAAGCACCCGCCCGTGAAACTGCTTGACCCCTTCCTGAGTCTCTCTGTAGGGGAAGCCGCCCAGAGGCCCCATGGCCGTTTTCAGGATCTCCACAGGAATTCGCAGGTCGAGATATGGCGAACTTGGTTTCTTTACGAGGTTGCTGATGAGCCAGAGCCGAATGGCGGGGTCCTAGATTATTAGTTAGAGAACTGATAATCAATCTTAGAACGGAAACAAGAAAGGACATCATTGGTAAAGGTAGTTTACCTTCTCATATGCCGCCAGAATTTCATCGGCTTGCCGATGGCTCGTGATCCGCTCCTCTTGCAATCGGGCCAAGCCTTGGAGGTATCCAAGAAAATCCGATTTGAGCGGCAGATGAATGGGACCGTTGTCGATGGCCACGACATCTTTGATGAGGTGGGGAGATTCCAGCGCCAGGGTTAAAGCTGTTTTCGCTCCCCTGTGAGCATGAGAGAAAGATTGGATCAATGACTGAAGAATGGTGGGTGGGCAAAGAAATTTCTCGCACATACATCGAATGTCCAATGATCGTCGGCTCTCGAATGCGGTGCTTCTCGATGAAGCTTCGCACATCTAGCGCGAGTTCCATATAATCGTGTTTCGGATGGTGGCCGGAGTCGCCGTGATTGCGCAGATCCTGTCTCCGTGTCAGATCATCTGAAATCAGTTTAAGGGCCTGGAGCATAGCTAGGTGATGAATCTCAATTGGAAGCGACATGACTCGGCGGCAACAATGTAATTCCGGTTATTTCCACAAGAGAAGAAAAGGAACATACCAATGCATAGACTGATCGGGAGGTATCCTTGGCCAGTTGTCTAAGCCCTCATATTAGCTGCCATGGGTTTCCCAGTATCGTTTCTGAGGTACAGCATGACTAGTGGGTACGGCGGGAAACAAGAAGAAGGGGGGAGCAAAGACGTCAGGGGGACCTGGAATTACTACAACGAACCCCAGTCGGGAGGGAAGTGCTTGCCTACTAATCATCCGATTCTCGCGCTTTGAGCCGAGAAACCCATGGAGGAAGAGAATTGGCGATGTTGAGGGGCTACTGCTGCTGGTGGTGCGAGGTGGCTGGCGGTGGTGGTGATGGAGCTCGTAGGCCAGTTGGACTCGTGCGGCTGGTGGTGGTGGTGGTGGTGGTGGCGGTGACGTATGCAGGGAACGGAGGAAGAGGTGGGGGCGCGGTCTGATATAGGACATGGTGATGATGTCCCGCTAGGCTGGCAATGGGATAGGTGGGCTAGAAACAACGAAAGAGGTAGAGGGGGGGGAAGAAGATTCATCTCAAGGGTTCGTTGTAAGTAGTGGGCATGAGAAACAGGGAGGATGGCGCGGATCAATCAGAAGCTACGACCCCTGATTGTCGGTCGGCTGTATGGTTGTGTTGCCGAGACCGAAGTATGAGACGTGAAAAGACACTTTACCTTTCTCAACTTATGTCGAGTGAGTCCTTCGGTGGGCTTCATTCTATGGAGAGGACAGTCTTATGTCAAATTCGGTTATTCTTCAATTAGTACCGCATCGGCGAGTAGTGCTTGTGCATGAGGCGCCGGCGTCGACTCTGACTTGACCTATAGTTCTAGCTCCGGCAGTTTAGGGCAAGGCTCGGGGACCGAGGCAGCTCTTACCGAGCCCGCCCTACCCTCGGCATGTTGAACACTTGGCCGAGTCAGCAGCATCTAAGTTACACTGTACATAAATCATCAGACCCTCTTAGTGACTAGACTTCTGTAGAGAGTACAGTGAAACCCTCATTTGTCTCGCATATCTTTCAATGCAGTGCGTTGCTTTACCTCCCCGTCCTTGACTCCACGCACATGGAGTTCTGACTACAATCACAAAGGGACCACTGCAATCCCCAGGAATAGAAGACAGAACCCAATCACCTTTTTCCCCGATTTTCCCCACGGACTAGATCATGTTCTGTCATGCAGGGACTGATAAGAGAGTTACCCTCCGCAGACGTGTCCATGCTAAATTGACCGTCCCCGAAACTCTCCACCTCCCCCAGGTCGACCACCCACAATCCCCCACTTCCTCAATGAACCTAAACATATTCACAGCACAAGTTACTGTCACTGGAAGGAAGACCCCTCTCGGAATATAGAGGAGAGGCATTTCCACCGCAGGTGCAATGGGCCCGGATTATTAAACGAACTACTTGATTCGAGAGGGGGGGGGCGAATGCTGTTGCTGTTGCTGTTGCTGGGCTGGGTAAGTAGAAGTGGGTAAGGTGGTGGTAGGTAGGTAGAGTAGTATGGCTAGGGGCCTCCCAATTTCCAACCCGCCTCATGCATCACCAACGTGATAAGCTGATAACATTCACCTTGAAAAGAACGATGATCGATGCACGCAGATCTACGACCCAACCATACCCCGATGCTCGATACGAGGGCTTGACAACTGTGCATGCATGCATGCATGCAGCCCTCACAAAGTATGAAGAGGCCCAGCAGCTGCACAGCATACCTCCGCCCCTCCTGTTCTTTCCTTTTTACAAATTCGACGCGTACACCCGACCCCCACTTCACAACTTTCCTCTACAACTTCGAAAGAGACAGTCTACGAAGAAGAAGCAGAAGAAGAAATAAAAATGACAGACCTCCCCCAGATCATCAACCAAATCCGCACCCAGCGGATCCAACGCATCGTCGTCCTCGTGGGCGCGGGCATCTCCACCGCAGCGGGGATCCCGGACTTCCGCACTCCCGGGTCGGGCCTCTACGACCAGCTGCAACCCCTCCGCCACCTCCTCCCCTACCCGGAGGCCCTCTTCAGCCTCAGCTACTTCAAGCACACACCGGAGCCTTTTTACGCGATCGCGCGGGCCCGCCACCCGCGCACCTTGCGCCCAACCCGCACGCACGCCTTCCTGCTGTTACTGAGTCGCAAGAACCTGCTCCATTTCCTGTTCACGCAGAACGTCGACGGCTTGGAGGCGGAGGTGGGGATCCCCGCGGATAAGACGTTGAATGTGCACGGGAGCTGGCGCGCGGGCCAGCGGTGCTGGAAGTGTGGGACGGCGTGTCCAGACTCAAAGATGCGGGAGGCGGTTCGGACGGGCGCGGTGCCGTATTGCTCGGTGGCTGAGTGTGAGGGGGGCGTGGTGAAGCCCGATGTCGTGTTCTTTGGCGAGGAGATCCCCCCCGAGTATGCGGAGCGGGAGGCGGTGGTGCGCGAGGCGGATCTTATGTTGGTGCTGGGGACGAGTTTGAAGGTCGCGCCGTGCTCGCAACTACCCCGGTTGGTGCGGGAGGGGGTGCCCCGGGTTTTGGTGAATCGCGAGGCGGCGGGGGATCTGGGGAAGAGGCCCGGGGATGTGTGTGTGCTGGGGGACTGTGATGATGGGGTGTGCGGGTTGGCGGAGGCGTTGGGGTGGGGGGGAGAGTTGGAGGAGGTGTGGATGGATGCAGTTAGAAGGGTGGAGGTGCAGTCGGAGCAGGAGGATTGGGGGGAGGAGGTGAGTTTGGAGGTGCTGGTGGAGCAATATGCGAGGTCGGTGGCGGATGCGAGGTTGGTGTTGGGGGGTCATCGACGGATGTTGGAGAGTCATCTGGGGGAGAAGTTGGCGAATATCCGGGGCAGGGGTTAGGCTTGGCTTGACGGTCGCTGTTAATTAGTCTCGGTTAGCTATTCAGTCTGGCCTTTGAGTGGGTGACATATCGCATTCCGCGACGCCATGTGTTCTAGATATAGGCATTGAGTCACGATATGAGTCCAGGAGGCTGGTGTGGTTGACTAGTATAACTTAAAGGCTGGTCGGTGGTTAACGGGGGAGATATAAGTCTAGCCTTATATGAGCAAGATACACCATTCTGCAACGCTATGTGCTTAAGATATAAAGCATTGAGTCACAATATGAGTCCAGGGAACTGATGTTGTTGATTCTAAGTCACCTTATAGATCGGTGAGTCACAAGCCCGAGCATAATTAGTCATTTATGCAAGCCGCCAGACCCCCGCAGCCCCGCTATCATGTGAAGTTCTTCTTCCATCCCAGCTGTTCCGTAGCTTAGCTTTATTCCTTCAGCTTTCAACAAAACATCTACACTACACATAAATACTTCAATCTCCCAGATATACACCATCTCCTCACTCCCACAACTACAACCACACAACAAAATACCCACCCTCCACCCTCCACCCTCCACCCCTCCACCCTCCACCCCTCCACAACCTCCCAGAAGAACAAAACAATGCCAACCTACACCCCCCAACCCCTCTACGGCGGCGCCATCCAAGGCATCATCCCCCAAGGCTGGATCGACGCCAGGTACGTTGCCCAGCCCCAGCCCCAGCTCCAATCCCCTTTCCCCTCATTCCCCAGTCCCAACCCACTAACATCCCCCTCCCGGCAAAAGCACCCTCCGCGAAATCCCCGACCACCAAGAACTCTACCTCTCGCCCACCACCCTCTCCTCCCTAATCATCGAGCTCAACCAACCCGTCCCCAACCCCGTCGCCCAAGCCACCCTGCGCGCCCACCCGGCCCTCGTTGCGGAAACCAGCCCGCAAGACCAAGAATCCCTCAACCGCGCCGCCGCCCTCCACCACCTCCTCGACATCTGCGATCCCGCGGATACGCTGGCGATCGTACAGCCGCCGACTAGGGTCGCGCTTGAGAAGTTTCAGGGGGGTGTGGCCGGGTATGTTGGGCGGGTTAGTTTTACGTCCCCGGTGGGGTTGCAGCAGCAGCAGCCGCAGCAGCAGCAGCAGAGGGTTGTGGGAGCGGGAGCTGGGGCTGGGGCTGGGGCTGCAGGGGCTGGGTCGAGTGGGGACCAGGCGGGGATGACAACGACAACGCAGTGCTGGTTTTTGTTGGTGAGGTTGGTGGAGCAGCAGACTGATTTGTTGGTCTTGGTGAACGTTCCCGAGAAGGAGTTTGTGGAGAGGGGGGATGCGGAGGGGTTGCGGAGGGAGGTCGAGGTGGGTGAGGGGGTGGTGGCGGAGTTGGTCAGGGGGTTGGAGGTTGTGGAGTGGGGGCTTTTTGCTTGATTCCATCAAGCTTATTCATTTGTCTCGATATGGGGGGGATGGGGATTGGATAATATAGGGATATGGATTTTGGGTGGGATGCACCGAATGCTTGGATTGGGACGATGTTGATGGATACGGAAAGGAAGCATCATGCATATATGGATAGTTATTGGCGCAATTGTCGCTTGTATAGATAGATACCTAGGTTAGCAATGAATTGATCAAACACCCCCTACATATGGGAATATAGAAAGGGAAAAGAAGTGAAGTCGGGTTCTCCAATCTTCCATTAATGCAAGGAATAATCTTTGTACATTTGAGCTAGTGGGCATGCCCTAACACCAGGTCAGCAGCACCCATAATGAAGTACAGAACCAAACCCCGAAATAAATACACCAATGCATCACCGCTAAGAAACTGAGTACCAAAGAAACACCATCAAGACTACATTATCGTATTGAACCCCCACGGCTAGTCGGAATCATCCAGCGTAGTCACAGCGGCAACCCCATCCATCACCTTGGCCACCTCCGCCAGCAGCCCCCTCGCATTCGGCAGCAGCGACAGCGGCTGCTTTTTCCGCGGCGAGACGCTGCGCGGCTTGGGCTTGATCTGCTGCAACAGCCCGTGGCACCGGCCACACCGCGACCGCACGGGGTTGATGCTCTTCGAGTGCCGCCCGTAGGTCTGGCCGCAGTCGACGCAGCTCCACACGTACTTGTAGTCGATTTTGTAGTTGTGCTTGGTGGAGATCTCGACCCGCCCGCCGCCGTAGACCGGGTGGTCCTGCAGCGCCTCGATGCACTTGCGGCCCCACGCCTTGAAGCTCTCCCCGTGCGGGTTGTCGTGCACGTCCGAGATCATGTAGTTGGCCAGGTGGCAGTACTCGTGCGCCACCGTCTTTATGATGCGCTCCTCGCTGTCGATGATCCGGTCGGCGAGCTCGATCTTGACGTAGTGTTTGGCAGCTTTGGTGGGGGTGTCCTTGTCGGATCCGCTGAGATCGGACTCGCGCTGCTGCTGCTGCTGCTGCTTGCCTGGTGTGACTCGCTTCCAGGATGCGCGGCCGGCGGTGGTTTGAAGGGTCTTGCTCCACACGATCTCCACGCCTCCAGTCGTGGCGGCGAGTTTCTGGACTTGGCCGTCATTCACGGCATCGTCGAGGGTCTTGAAGAAATTCTCCGCGAAGCCAGCTTTGGAGGCGTCGAAGGCTTGCTTCCGGGCCTTTTCGGCTTTCTTCTTCTCGGTCTCGGCGCGTTTGAGCGCCGTCTTGCTGAGGGGCTTGCGGGTGGGGGAGGCTGGTGGTTGGCTGCCGCGGTTGGCTCCCCGGGGCATGATGTCCACGTCGATGACTCCGACGTCGGACTCCTCGTCGAACTCCCGGAGGAGGTCGTCGACCTTGCAGGGGGAGTGTTGCGTAATCCAGTCGTTGGTCACTTCCTCGCTCCAGAAGGCGTCTACGCTCTCGCGGTGGGGGGTGGGCGGGATGTGCACCCGAAGTCTGTCTTTCGTGGGGGATCGAAGGCGTCCCTTCGAGGGACTCGATGGCGGGGTCGAGGTCTTCGTCGTTGTCGTCGTCCCCGTTGCCGATTCAATGCTTCTGTTGGCCTGCGATCTCTTGGTTGGAGAGTCATCGTATTGACCGGACCTTGGGGGTGTATATTAGCATGCGAACCGGAGGTTTCCTCAGAGAGACAGGGTGTGAATGGGGAATTTATGGGAGATTTACGTGAATGGATCCTGCTGAACTTGGAAGGCCGGATCATTGTTCTCCAGGTGCAGATTGTTCAGCTTGTCGGTGAGGTTGATCTCCTCCTGAAAGAGGCGTCTGGGCGTGGCCTCCAGCTTGGGGGCTGCCATTGTCAATCTGGCGGGCAAGGATGGTGCCAGTTTCAGATCCACCTCATTGTCCGAGGCAGCTGCAGCTGGATCTTCTTGCAGATCTTTTTTTATCTCTCTTTCTTCGCAGCCCGGTCGTCGACCCCTGAACAATCTCTTTCTTGTGGTTGTTCGGGGCGGCGAGGGCGAGGGCTGCGCGGGCTGCGCGGGCTTCTCGAACTCTTCTTCCTCTGTTTCATCCTCGGATGTATTGTGGTAACTGAGGTCTTCATTGTCGCTGACAATGAAATCAGCCATTGAGTCGGCGTCATTGTCTTCTTCGCTTTCTTCTTTTTCGTCGGCAGACTCGAATTCTGGCCGGCGGTAGCCCGTAAGCAGGCGACGGGTATTCGACATGCCTCTTCCTGGTGTCGGTCGAGTATCCGCTGGCCGACGCATCGGCGAGCGACTCGACGACGACGACGCATCCGACGGGTTCCTCGACAGCGGAGGAACGTCGCGATCCTGCCCGTGCTCGTGCTCGATAGGGTCATTCTCCTTGTCGTAATTGTAGGTCTCCGGCTTCCTTGTTGACCTGCTACGCCGCGGGGAGGGCGGCGGTTGGGACAAAGGGGCTGCGGACAAAGAGTTGATCTGCGACAGTCTCAAAGGGTCTGTTGTCCGTGTCTCGCACAAAGAGCGGGTCGAAGACCGCGCGCTGCTGTACTCGGTCTCGCTGAACCCGCCATCGCTATCGGAGAAGATATCGAAAATCCCACTGGAGACGGTCCCGGTTCTTTGGTGTCGGACTCTTCGTTGTTTTTTTTCGGGCTGCTGCTGTGGGGACTTCTCAATTATTGTCGTGGTCGTGGTTACCGAGTCGCCCTTTGTTTGTCCCTTCAGTGTGGTGACTGTCCATTGTTGCTGGGGTTCATCCTCTGCCTCGGACGCGGACGACGTCGCATACTGGGAGACCTCGCGAACGACCGTCTGGGTGATTCTGGGCTTGGCTTGAGGCCGGAACACCGCGGGCTTGATGGGGCTGTTGGGGTTGAGTCGGGCCATTGTGTCAGGATTTATATCTCAGGTGCTGCAGTGGTTGCTTTGCAGTGCAGCAGCGACCCCACCTCCGCGTTGTCGATGACGATGCTCTGTGGCGATCTGAGGTGTCATACAGTACCTGCGGCTGGCGTGGCAGTCGGTGGTCATCCACTGTCGATAGACGCGCAGCTCCTCGCACGCTTTATCTGCGCGAGGCTGGATACTGGGGAAAGACTATTGAATTGCGGTGGGAGTTCTGGAGACCGGTTGGCACAGCAACGCGTCGGGCGAGATCCCGCGGGCGATAAAGAACCAAGGCACTGGCCGATGGAATTCATGGATGTGGGGTTTTTGGTCCCGGTGTTGGCCCATTCGGTGCCCCAGGGGCGTACACCGCTTGATGTCTCTGCACTTTCGAGCGCATTGCATCATCGTGGATGAGGAGGCTGGGGATGGTTATGGTCAATGCAAAAAAGAGATCTGGATGCTGGCAAAAAAAAAAGATATTGAAGGCCCGAGCCGCGGATCGAACGCGGGACCTCTCGCAGATATGCTTGGGTTTGTATCCCTAAGCGAGAATCATACCACTAGACCACCCGGGCTTCTTATGGTAAAAGGCCTGTTACTTGGCTATATGAAACACTGACTATGGGGTCGTCCAATCAATGCACCTGCCAACGAAAGTTATTACTAGTCGCAACAGCAGCAGTCAGCCATGCTGTTACCTACTGATTTGCCTTTTACTATTGTTCAATGCAGGATCTTAACCCCCCTGCACCGTTAAAGGTCGTGTTCTGCTGATATCGCGTCTATAGTTGCTACGAAATACCTGCTCTAGTCCTGGTCGCTTTGTCGGTTCGGATATATACTTCCAAGAAAGTGAGACCCGAGCCAGTAAGGACACAACTCATTTTTGTGCATACGGGGTACACCAGAGAACCATGCACAGTAAGCCCCCATGATTACACCAGAACCAGAATTTACAATACACACGCATAACCATACGTGCAAAGCCTGGACCCCAACGCTGATGCTGACAGCACTGGTAAACCCAGCCCCATACATGAACGAGTGCGCATCCGGGATCCAGCCTGTTACATGGATGACACCATCAGACACAAAGTGTAATCAAAGACGAAGTGCAGAGCATGTTCATGTGAACATGATCTGAGACAGCCGGTAAGCGCCCCAGCTTTGTTGTGCCCGGAGGCTTGGCCCACGCCATCAAACCATTAGATATTGATGTGCCCCAGGGAAGCAACCAGACAGCAGTCCGTGTGCACACACCAGAGAGCCAACATGAAAAACCCAGTGAGCCCGTGAGCGAATACAACACCAACGATTCTGCCCGAGATGCAAAAGCCGCAAGGACAAGGGACCCACAGACACAGAATAATAGAGATCGGGGATTGTTGCCCGCCCACAGAACGACAGTTACAATCCACCAAGCCGACCAGACGACCGCATGATGGCCATAATCCATCCACTGAGACATCCGTTCCCAGCAAGGAATAACCGCGGGTTCCGAACGGAACCCAGAGGGGCAAAGCTAGAGAGCTTATTCCTCCGTCCGTAGATAGACTGCAGGGCCTGCAGTGTAGACACAAGCTCCCCCAGCTTCGTGCTACAACATGGGAGCATAGAGCATAAGCCACAGCCAATCGGACACCCACAAAGCAGATCCGACGATGCTCGCAGGCGAATATGGTCGAGCGTGTGATCAACCACCAGCCTGCAATCGCGCCGGTTGTCCCACCACCCACCCCCAAGGACACGCTCATGCGTGAGCCGTCGACCACTACACCGCGATGAATGCGGGAATGCCAGATGCAGAACAGAAAAAAGTCATGCGGAAGAATGGTCGCCTATCGAAGAGATTGAAAACGTTCAATCGCCACAATGGCCGTGTGTGCGAATCATCCCGGTTCACAGGATCAACCCGACTCTTGGTCCGACGGAGTTGTCCTAGACGGTGATCCCTAATAAAGGGGATTGCACATCCGGCAGCACAGTGTACTCGGTGGCAGTCGAAGTGGCGAAGTCGTCTATCAGACGCGGTAGAAGATCACGATCTGACATCTCCAGGCGTTCGAATCACCATGCGACGATCGTTCCTTTTCCCGTCAGTGGAACTGTCCCAGACAAGCAACCCACTCACCACTCTAGAGTACGGGAGTCTCAAACTAGTCGCGTCGCGAGCCGGTTCGCACAGGTGATCATCGCACCTTAAACAGCAACAGAGGTTAAACTGGGTATACCTTGGGAAGATGCACGACTAATCTGATCAGAGCTCCGTACCGAACCACATCCGCCGCCACATTTCGGGAGAGCCTTTCGATTGCATATGTGGCGTCGGCTGTCGAAAACGGTCATCGCACCATAGCACTTGGAAGTACTCCCTTCGTACACCGTAGTGTACATACTAGTGAGTGACGACCAATGCACAGATAGGCCTGCTTGCCTCGTAAGCTGTGTGTACGAAACCAGGTGAGCCGCGCGACTAATCATTGCCCGGACCGTCGACCATAGGTTTGTCAGCGTTGTACGTGGCGAGAACACCGAACCAATTGAAGCCACAAATCATAGGGAGAGGGAAAGGAAGTGATAACTTGGTTAGTTGGTCTAATTTAGTGTGACGGAGGGGAGCGGAAGTCAGGCGAAATGAAATCTGAAACACTTGATGGAAGAAACGAAGTGCCCCCCCCCTTTTCTTTTCCCAATCCCCAATCATTCGACCGGGCCGGACCACTCACACCAAAGTCGCAACTCCGTCGCAATCAACCTAGCCTCGTCGCGGATATCGCCACCCGCTCTCCTGCCCCATCCGATTGGTTTTCGCCTACATCTTATGCTCCAGTCTCTCGCAGCCACCTGTGTCCTCTAGTGCCCTGTGGTGCCTGGACATTGGCCCATTCAAACAGTGTTGAAACCCGCTCCCTGCTAGCTCAGTGTCCTGATTATGTGACCCCACAATGGGCAGAATAAGGACTTTGGCGATGAGATTGGGATTACTGCTTGCGGTCGCATATCCCGCAAGCTAGTACGGAGCAGCTGGGGAGGGGGGGAAATTATTGGGGGAGGGGAAAGGGGTCCTTCGGAAAAGTGATATGGCGAGATTCATTCGAGTCCATCAAGGGGATTCGAGGGAGGGGGAGGGGAAAAGAAAGGGTTTGATGCCTGTGAATGAGGTTGATCCTGCGAGGAGGGATGTCTTATCTTCTCTACCTCTACTTATAGAGTTGCATGATACATAGACAATACTGTGCATGCTAGACATCACCAATGACCCTGAGACTTGGGTTGCTGTCGAGTCTAAGTACCGAGGTACAGTACACAGTATACATGTATGTTCCTGATCTGCTGCAAGGGCAAGGAAGGTATAAATGGAACGGGCAGACATTGCACATACATAGCACCTATCTTGCATATCGCTCCCGAGCAGCTGCCAAACTGCTATTCTGACCATTTTATTTGACTAGTATCGCGCTATAGTATTCTCTCGAGGTTCTAGGTCCCATGAACCCTTTATTTTAATCTATCGAGTGAAGATCACTATATCTTCGAGGGGCTGACTATACCACGGAGTAACGACTATTGCTACGTATTATTATCATTTTGTCAAGAGAGAAGGCAGGACAGTCGGTTCCATGGCTATGCCGGCTTTGGAACCCGGATCAAAAATTGTTTACTTTGCATATTTTTGGAACTTGATTCAGCCCATCCATAATTTTACTTAGTCCTTGTCCTTACTAGACTAGTTATGATTTATTGTTTGGATCAATCAAGCCACGCAGGCGGAAGAACGTTGAGATAGACATCCAATCCCACTGCGAACCAATTGATACTCAGTGGCCTGGACAGCCCAAGAGACAGAGACCAGTTATCGTGGGCGGTTTTCCCACCGATACCGATGTCATCATGGATCTTACGTAGCTTGTGGGGCGGCTACGCTTTTAGTCTCTCTGACCTGAAGGTGTGAAGTTCTCACAAATAACGGGGCTCCTTTTGAATATCCCGGCCCTCATCCATGGCTACCTCTAACAATATTCCACATTGTGTCTCTTTTCAATAGGAAGCTGTAATTTAGTGGCCATCCTTTTCTGGTCCTGAGAATCGGTGGTTCTTCCAGGGAAGATGGTTGTGAATAGTACTCCGTGCTCATAATTAATACAGTGTACCTTGAGTGAGTGAGTATCCAAGTGAGTCTCCACACAGCCTCTCTCTATCCCCCTTCGCCCTAGACTACCGGTAGACTAGAAAGGCTGGAAGCCTGGCAAAAGAGGCTAAGGAGTGTGTCTAAGGAGGCTGGAACGACAGACGATACACGATCACCAACCACACCTGTCGATCATAGTCTACAGGCTGATTAGTTCACTGCTCAGCTTACTATGGAGCAGGACAAAAGTGGCCTACCTACCTTTCCCTGAATTACCAATAGGAATTCAACATTTCATTGGAGTTCAGAACGGGCTTGCAAAATCGCAGACACCGAACAAAAAGCAAGAAAAACAGCCACCGCAATCAAGGCTTGAAAGTTGGGTCCTGTTTTTTTTGGGGGGTGTGGGGGCTTTTCCTAACGCCGGCCCCCTCCCATCCGCGCCATTCGAGTGGCTGCGGCATTACAGTTGGCGGATTGTTTGTAAGGTTAGGTTGCAAAGATTACATGCCGCTAAGAGGCCCGCCGCCTTGTCGTACAGTAATTCTCCTCGTACCAACCGAACTGCGTCTGCAGGTTTACTGTTTCTCAGGTAAGTTTCAAATCCCAATGTTCGCCTGTCTGCTTGTCTATCTCCCTATCCATGTACTGTATACATTTATCATGCTCTCCAAGATTGCAACGGCCGACAACGTAGAGTTATCGATCGGACAACCGTGGATGTAAGGGTCTCAGATAAGGAGACGGATGATCTATACCCAGGGATCGTACTTCTCGACTCAAAATACTCTGCAAGCAGTGATCCGATCGTGAAGAGCAGGCGATCGACCTAGATGCTAAATCCGCTGCAGTGTGATCATGAACTGACTGACCTGGAAATAGCCTCAATGAGTGATTCCATCCGGCAATGTTGACCACCTGGAACCCGATAGTGCATCCCTTGAATCGGTTGGGTAGATCTCTGCGGCCTTTCGCGGGTCTTCAGGGGACGACAAGTGGCTCTTGTCACTACTGTCTTAGATGCGCCCCCATCCGCAATGCTTAAGAATAGATGGGTATGGAGTGCGGAGTCGATCTTCGTTTCTTTCCAGATGTGCTATGAATATGTACTGTACCGTTGAAGCGAACATTGGCAGACCCCGCTCCCGACAGAGCTGTAGACTAATAATACTAGGAAACCGGAATGTACATGTCTATGTCTTTGTAGGCAGTCAAGCCATCAGGGAACCCTCGAACTCAATGCAAGTCTCCCGCAAGAATTGGCATCACAGACCACGTTGTCTCTATTGCTTAGGGTGGGTGGACAAGTTCGGTGGATTCCATATACCCCAAGTACATGCAATGGTATTGGTGGGCTTGCCCAGACCTCTTCCCCATTCTTGTGAGAAGTGATGCGCAGCCGCTGTCACTGGACAAGTTTCGTGGCCACTGGGGCTGGACTATGTACGGGCTTGGTTTCTGGCAGGCAGCTATCTTACTCAGTTCTTGTCCTGTCAAATGGTGCCAGTGTGCCTCCATGGGCGCATGTCTCTTTCTTGTGTACTGACTGTGGCAAGGGAGACAGGTTACTCTATAATTGGAAAAGCAGTCAGATGTTTAGTGCCTGCCTTACTCAGCGGCTGTGGGTCGAAGCAGCTGATTATGTATGATGTATGCTTCCCTATGCGTGTCGATTCGTGGCGAAAGAGTCAGTGTAACGTGTACAGTTTTCCTTTTTCTTTCCTTGATCTTTTGCAGTTGTACATGGTTTTGTGTGGTTTGATCAAGTACGCAGTAACATACAAGTACCAGAAGTTTTCGTGGAAGGACATGATATGATCGGTTGTAGAGTAGTAGTTCATGCTGCCAGCTTGATTGGTAATGCAACTGCACTGCCGAGAGTGTGCTCAGAATCTTATCCTATTCTTGCCTGTTACTGACAAGTTCGCCATGATATCCTCAATACAACGGACTATGAAGTTCCTGGGAGGCGGAGCATGAGCATATATGCAGGAAGCGTTACATGCGCAGTCGAGTACTAGCAATACATAGATGAGATTTTTATTGGGGTGTACAGTACCTGAGTATGAGGAGCCTTTTCTCAGCAACGGAGCCAACTCTCCACAGCATGAAGCTGTTGCAACAATCCGGTGCTCGCTAAGGATCCAATAAACCAAAGACCGCTGCCACCATAATAAACAACCACCCGCCCCGGCGACGCATTCGTGACCTTGCCACTATGATGTTGTAACAAGATGGACTGTGGTTGCTGGTACGGGCGGGTTGAGGAATGAAGATGGTTCATGATTCATCCCTTCATGCCTGGTGGGAGCAATGCTTGTGAACTGGAAGGGTAAACAAGCAAAGACAGCGGCGAATTTCGTATACCGTAATTTATTACACCGATACTCGCATCAACTTCCCAGCCCTTCGGTACGGATCTGGGTAATTCCCATTTCCTGGTGGTCTAGAGTTGTGGGTCGGGGAGAGGTGGGCTTCAGGGGCCGCCGCTGAGTTCCATGGATGCCGAAGCACACAGTACGTATCTCCGGACGAGTCTTGTCCACTTGTTGCAGATTTGAACTTTTGTGTCCACCACTCCAGGCTTTTGGAGGAGAATATGGATCAATGTGGTTGCCAGCTACGTCAGTCACTCAAGTCTACTGAGGATTCTGATTGTCGCCATCTGCTGCATTCGGTAGACTTTTGGGATAAGGGTTGAATAGTTGAATCTCTCTCTCTCTCTCTTTCTTCTATGAATGGATGTGGTAGTTTTTCGGGATGGCAAATTTGTTGGTGATCTCCTACGCGTACCTCACATTCGGCAGATGTGGCACCCGGGGAGGTCCCTAACCACGGTATCTCAGGCACTCAATTAAAGCAAAGTATAGTGTACCTTTGGTTACATATACAATGTAGCTACATACTCTGGAGTTACAGCACTGTACATAAGCAAATGGCCCAGCCTCTTGTTCGTGATGTCAAGAATTGCTGAGCAAAGCTGATCAGTAAGGTACCTTGGGTACAGGTAGTAGTAACCTGGTACCTGCTGGGATGAATAAGTGTAGGTGACTGGGAAAGTGGATGGATGGATGAATAGCTGATGGAGGAGGAGGAGATGGTGGTGGGTACATACAGTACTCTCTTATTACGCATGTTATGCTGTTTTGCGTGTATTTAACATACCGAGATGTGGTAAAGATTGGTAAATACCAGGTACCACTGCATGTACCATCCCATGGAACATTACGTGAAGAGTTGCTGGTTGGCTACATATCCCCGCCCTGGCCTGGCTGACCGGGCATATTTACCACTAGTCCAGGAGAAATCGGTATCGCGACTAGTAAATTAGCAGATCCAGATCCCAAAATAACCACAAGTCTCCTCTCCCCCCTTCCCTTACACACTCTGCCCATCCCCCCCCCTCCTCCACCCTCCTCCCCCCCCCCAATCCAATCCTACGGAGAGAAAAAAAAAAAGCCCAGAGGACTTGAGAAAGGACTGTATTCTGTATTAGCTCGAGAAAGACAGCGAAAAGACTGGCCCAGTCAGTAGCGCCAGTGCTATCTTCCCTGCTTGTCGGTCAATCAATTCCCTTTTTCACCACTACCCGTCCAACTCAAGCCTCCTCTAAGCGTCCTTCTCTCTGGGTCCTTTCCTTCTTTCGTTCCCTCTCCCTCTCTCTCACTCTCACTCTTTCTTGCTTGCTTCTTCCCTAACCTCTTCCTTTTTTTCTTTTCGGTTCCCTGTCTTGTTCAGTCCACTCTTTTGTTCTTATCATCCACTCCAACCCACTCCCCCCCCCCAAAACACCTACCCCCAAGTCACCCAACCACTTTTCCCTCCAGGAAAACGCGACTTGGCTCCCTTCCTTCTTTCTGATTCTTTCGTTTCGAGGAAAGAAGAGGGAGGTGTTGCTTGACTGAGATAGGTTCGACCTACAACGGTCATTCATTGACACCTTTCGCTCGCCCCCCCCCTTTAGTTCAGTTTCGACCATTTGGCTTGACCCCTTCCACTCGTTTAACAAACGGACTTTACCAACGACATCCCGACTTCGCCTTACAAGTCGGTCACCAGCAGAATCAATTGTTTTCGGTTTGAGTTTGAATCACTTTCAACACCGTTCAACTGTCGGGGACTGGTGCCTCCAGGGGACAAAAAGCGCTCTCGGTTTCAGTGTACTCGACGTGTTTCGACCTTTTCGATCTTTAGCGAACGGATCCTACCGAGAATTCGACTGCCTGTTATATGCTCCAGCCATCGGGAATATTTTCAGCTAATTTTTAATGGGTCATTGTTCATGTAAGTCCTGACCATCCCGGTTACGGGATGCTCCTTGCTGGGTATGACTGCGGAAACTCATCACTTGCAATCGTATAGAACCTCTTCGAAGAGTTAGTGATTGTGGCACGTCAAAATGTCCGGTTATCCCGCAGCAGCAGGAGGGGGCCACTACGAGGAGGGCTACGGCCACCAGCAAGAGCATGGTGACTCGTACTACCAAGACGAGCATGGCCAGGCTTATTATGATCATGAAAATTATGGTGATAGTTACTATGATAGAGGGTATGTGACCTGGGCTCCCACTACATCTCGCCACCCGAGGAGCTGGATTAACCTGTGGTCAACAGCAATCATTACAACGCCGAGGGAGGCCAAGGGTATCAACAAGAAGGCGGTTACTATGATGGTGGCCACCAAGACGAGTACTACGGCGACCAATACTATGACCAGGGCAACCATGGCGGCAGTGGCAGACGCCGCGGCGAGTCCGAAGAGGATTCCGAAACATTCAGCGACTTCACCATGAGATCCGAGACTGCTCGAGCGGCCGACATGGATTACTACGGCCGCGGCGATGAGCGTTACAATAGTTACGCCGACAGCCAGTATGGTGGTCGTGGTGGATATGGCGGCGGTTACCGGCCACCTTCCTCCCAAGTCTCCTATGGTGCCAACCGTTCTTCCGGGGCCTCCACCCCCGTGTACGGCATGGATTACGGTGGTGCTCTACCTGCTGGTCAGCGCTCGCGGGAGCCCTTCCCCGCTTGGGCCTCGGACGGTCAGGTGCCTGTTTCCAAGGAAGAAATCGAGGATATCTTCATCGACCTGGTCAACAAATTCGGCTTCCAGCGGGACAGCATGCGCAATATGTACGACCACTTGATGACACAGCTGGATTCCAGAGCTTCTCGTATGACCCCTAACCAGGCTCTCTTGTCGCTCCACGCCGACTACATCGGTGGTGACAACGCGAACTACCGCCGGTGGTACTTTTCTGCCCATTTGGATCTCGATGACGCCGTTGGTTTCGCGAACATGAAGCTTGGAAAGGCCGATCGTAAGACGAGAAAAGCTCGCGCCGCGGCCAAGAAGGCTGCCCAGCAAAATCCCGAGAATGTTGAAGAGAACCTCGAGGCTTTGGAGGGAGACAACAGTCTGGAAGCTGCCGAATATCGGTGGAAGACCCGGATGAACCGCATGTCTCAGCATGATAGAGTACGCCAGATTGCCCTTTATCTGCTGTGCTGGGGTGAGGCCAACCAGGTCCGTTACTTGCCGGAATGCCTCTGCTTCATCTTCAAGTGCGCCGATGACTACTACAGCTCTCCCGAGTGTCAGAACCGGGTTGAGCCCGTGGAAGAGCTCACATATCTGAATGAAATCATCACCCCCTTGTACCAGTTCTGCCGTGACCAAGGTTACGAGATCTCAGATGGCAAGTATGTTCGTCGCGAGCGTGACCACGACAAGATCATCGGTTATGATGATATGAACCAGCTTTTCTGGTACCCCGAGGGCATTGAGCGCATTTCTTTCGAGGATAAGACCCGTCTGGTGGATGTCCCGCCCGCTGAGAGATGGACGAAGCTGAAGGATGTGGACTGGAAGAAGGCCTTCTTCAAGACCTACCGGGAGACACGTTCCTGGTTCCATCTGGTGACCAACTTCAACCGTATCTGGGTTATCCATCTTGGTGCTTTCTGGTTCTTCACTGCTTACAACGCCCCGACGCTTTACACCACCGACTACCAACAACAGTTGGACAACAAACCGCCAGGCTCTTATTACTGGTCTGCTGTTGGCTTCGGAGGTGCTCTGGTTTCCTTCATTCAGATCATGGCTACTATTTGTGAATGGATGTATGTCCCTCGCCGATGGGCTGGTGCGCAGCATCTCACTAAGCGGCTGTTCTTCCTGTTGGCTGTTTTCATCGTCAACCTGGCTCCTGGTGTCGTTGTCTTCGGATTCAAGAGTTCCATCGGCGAGACTATTGCTCTCGTCATCGGTATCGTCCACTTTTTTATCGCCTTGGCTACGTTCTTCTTCTTCTCTGTCATGCCGCTTGGTGGTCTCTTTGGTAGTTATATGAAGAAGCACGGACGTCAATACGTTGCCAGTCAGACGTTCACGGCTAGCTTCCCTCGCCTCACCGGTAACGACATGTGGATGTCTTACGGTCTCTGGATTTGTGTCTTTGGTGCCAAGCTGGTTGAGTCCTACTTCTTCCTGACCTTGTCCCTGAAAGATCCTATCCGTATCCTGTCGCCCATGCGCATTCACCAGTGTGCGGGTGTCACTTATATCCCCAACGTGCTCTGCCACCGTCAGCCTCAGATTCTCCTGGGTCTGATGTTCTTCATGGACTTGACGCTCTTCTTCCTCGACAGTTACCTGTGGTACGTTATCTGTAACACGATCTTCTCCGTCGCCAGATCGTTCTATCTCGGTGTCTCGATCTGGTCGCCCTGGAGAAATGTCTTCTCTCGCCTGCCCAAGCGTATCTACTCGAAGGTGCTCGCTACGACCGACATGGAAATCAAGTACAAGCCCAAGGTTCTCATCTCACAGGTGTGGAACGCTATCATCATTTCCATGTACAGAGAGCACCTTTTGGCCATCGACCACGTGCAGAAGTTGCTCTACCACCAGGTTCCTTCCGAAGTCGAAGGCAAGCGGACTCTTCGTGCCCCTACTTTCTTCGTCTCGCAGGAAGATCAGTCTTTCAAGACTGAGTTCTTCCCCGCTGGTAGCGAGGCCGAACGTCGTATCTCCTTCTTCGCCCAGTCCTTGTCCACGCCTATGCCCGAGCCGCTCCCGGTCGACAACATGCCCACTTTCACCGTCCTCATTCCTCACTACGGTGAAAAGATTCTGCTGTCCCTTCGTGAGATTATTCGTGAGGATGAGCCCTACTCCCGTGTTACTCTGCTGGAATACCTTAAGCAACTTCATCCTCACGAGTGGGATTGCTTCGTCAAGGACACCAAGATTCTAGCGGACGAGACCTCGCAGTTCAACGGTGATCA